TTCTTTGTAGGAATTATTCTGTATCTTGATGAGATTTTGACATATTTGTGGGGAGGCTGGTGATCTCACCATCTTACTCCTCTTCCATCTTCTTCTGTCTCCCCAAACTGTGGAAAATTCTTAACGACATGCAAGTACCAGACCACTGCTCTCTGATGAATGAGGATAAGAGGCTTGTGGAAGCTTCTTGATAGGAGGGACTGGCTGTGGGGAAAAGTGCATCTTACTCTGGTGGGCAGTGATTTGAGGTTTGTTTTTTTTTTTTTTTTTGCTCCTTGAAAGGAAACCTATGACCAACCTAGATAGCTTATTAAAAAGCAGAGACATTACTTTGCCAACAAAGGTCCATCTAGTCAAAGCTATGGTTTTTCCAGTAGTCAAGTATAGATGTGAGAGTTGGACTATAAAGAAAGCTGAGTTCAAAGCTGATGCTGTTGAACTGTGGTGTTGAAGAAGACTCTTGAGAGTCCCTTGGACTGCAAGGAGATCAAAAGAGTCAATCCTAAAGGAGATCAGTCCTGCATATTCATTGGAAAGACTGGTGCTGAAGCTTCAGTACTTTGGCCACCTGATGTGAAGAACTGACTCATTGGAAAAGACAGTGTTGCTGGGAAGGATTGAAGGCAGGAGAAGATGGATGGCATCACTGACTCAATGGACATGAGTTTGAGCAAGCTCCAGGAGTTGGTGATGGAACAGAGAGGCCTGGCATGCTACAGTCCATGGGGTCACAAAGGGTCGGATATGACTGAGTGACTGGACTGAACTGGTGGGCAAGGCTGTTCTTGGTAAATCTTTAATCCAATTTTCTGCTGATGGGCCTGTGTTCCCTCCCTGTAGTTTGACCTAAGGGCAAACTGTGGTAGGGATAATGGCGACCTTCCCAAAAGGACTTATGCCAGCTTACCACATCTCCCAGGACTGCTGCAGTCAGTGCCCCTGACCCTGCTGCAGGCCACTGTTGACCACACCTCAACCAGAGACTTCTGAAGACTCACAGGCAAGTCTGGCTCAGTCTCTTGTGGGGTCACTGCTTGTTTATCCTGGGTCTTGCTGCCCACAGGGTTTTGACCTGGAAAAGGTCAGTTTTCATTCCCATCCTAAAGAAGGGCAGTGCCAAAGAATGTTCACACTAATGCGCAGTTTCTTATATTTCACATGCTAGCAAAGTAATCGTCAAAATCCTTTAAGCTAGACTTCAGCAGTATGTGAACTGAAAACTTCCAGATTACAAGCTGGATTTAGAAAAGACATAAGAACCAGAAATCAAATTGCCAACATCCACTGGATCATAGAGAAAGGAAGAGAATTCCAGAGAAACATCTACTTCTGCTTTATTGACCACGCTAAAGCCTTTGACTATATGGATCAAAACAAACTGTGGAAACTTCTTAAAGAGATGGGAATACCAGACTATCTTACCTGCCTCCTGAGAAACCTGTATGCAGGTCAAGAAGCAATAGTTAGAACTGTACATGGAACAACATACTTGTTTCAGAATTGGGAAAGGAGTATGTCAAGGCTGTATTTTATCACCCTGCTTATTTAACTTATATGCAGAGTATATCATGTGAAATTCCAGGCTGGATGAAACAGAAGCTGGAGTCAAGATTGCCACGAGAAATATCGATAACCTGAGATATACAGATGATACCACCCTTATGGCAGAAAGTGAAAGAGGAACTAAAGAGCTTCTTGATGAAGGTGAAAGAGGGGAATGAAAATGCTGGGTTGAAAATCAACATTCAAAAAACTAAGATCATGTCATCCAGTCTCACCACTTCATGGCAAATAGAAGGGGAAACAATGGAAACAGTGACAGACTTTTTTGGCAGTCCAAAATCACTGTGGATGGTAACTGCAGCTGTGAAATTAAAAGATGCTTGCTTCTTGGAAAAGCTGTGATAGACCTAGACATCGTACAAAAGAGCAGAGACATTACTTTGCTGTCAAAGGTCTGTCTAGTTAAAGCTATGTGGTTTTTCCAGTAGTCATGCACAGATGTGAGAGTTGGACCATAAAGAAGCCTGAGCACCGAAGAATTCATGCTTTCTAACTGTGGTGTTGGAGAAGACTCTTGAGAGTCCCTTAGACAAAAAGGAGATCAAACCAGTCAATCCTAAAGGAAATCAATCCTGAATATTCATTGGAATGACTGATGCTGAAGCTGAAGTTCCAGTACTTTGGCCACCTGATATAAAGAACTGACTCATTGGAAAAGACCCTGATGCTGGGAAATACTGAAGGCAGGAGAAGGAGGGGATGATAGAGGATGAGATGATGGTATCATACACTCAGTGGACATGAGTTTGACCAAACTCTGGGATATGGTAAAGGACAGGGAAGCCTTGAGTGCTATCCATGGGGTCATAAACAGTTAGACATGATTTAGCATCTGAACAACAGTTGATAAAAGTTGACTTGTGGTTGCCAGTAATTTTTTTACTGTTCTTTCACCATGAATAACTTGGGAAATATTGCTTGGAGTAGCCTTGTAGGGTTAGATTTAGGTAGCTATAAGAACTCTTATATTGCATAAGGTAAAGCAGAGTGATTATACTTGGAGGTAGGGTGATGGTTTTAAAAGGAGGGAAGTACTCTGATCAGAGTAGTCTGCTACTCTGCAGTAACACTGCTGTTAATGAGATCTGAGACAGTGTTTCATATTAACTGAGTGAGTAGATGGCATTTAGCAATATTGGATTGAGGAGGGAGGAGAAGATGTGAATTCATCTCAGAATGAGAGCATACATTTATTAGACAAATGCAGTAGTGTTTTGGGGGAGTTCTGAGTGCCTGTTTAAGTTATGTGGCCATAAACTTGAACTAAGACCTGTTTTCAAAAATTTCTCCAATTAATTCAGTTGTTTAGATCCAGATAAATAGAAGGTATATATTTAGGTTTAATAAGGACTGACCTTTTCCCTTGCTAATGTGAATTAGTAATGGTGCAGAGTCAGGAGGTCTTTGTATGGGAGTGATTCTCATGCTGAGTTGTGGAACCTCAGCAGGTGAAGGAAAGAAATGAGGGGGGCGGTTGATGGTGAAAAGATAGTAGGCTCTGTGGTTTGCAGGACTCTGTGTAGTCAAACAATAGTTGTAATACCACAGATGTAAAATGGAAGGGAAGGAAGGGGGTGATCAAAGAGTAGGATTGTGGAAATACAGTTTTCGGAGGTGGTGTGAATTTTCGTGATCTACATGATCTAGTTAGAGATAAAAACATAGATATCATTAAATATAACCATAGGAGAGGTTGGCTGAGGTGGTGTTTAGGAAAAGACGGTTGAAGTTGAAGACGTCAAGGAACACAGAGGCCAAAGACTTAAACTGGTTTTCTGTATGTATGTTGAAATATGATGATGGCCAGCATAATGATGGAGAGAAAAGGTAGTCGTAGTCAGGTGCTAAAGTCATGATTGAATGAAGGGGTTGAGGAAGGATTTTGAGGGAGGTAGTTAACACAGCAAAAATAATGGGTGGTAACGTCTTGATTGCATGGTCTTCAATGGATCTGAAGTGGGGCTCAGTTAACGGAGAAAGTAGTACAGTGGAGATTAATGAGGACACCCTCCCCACCTGAGTCCTGAAGTGTCCTGAAGGATTATGGCAGGAAAAGGTCACCATTTGAAAGGGCTCCAGGGAGAAGTGTCTTCCAGCAATCACCAAATTTTACTTAGAACAAGAGAGGTCTTTCAGAGAAATTAAATATACAGAGCAGTATGTGGATAGTATCCTAGTGAACATGGATTATCTAAGAGGCTTGGATTTACTGTGCCTGAGCTGAACTTGGGTATACAGAATTAGTTAGTTATGGTAGTTTGTTGGATGAAGGTGTTGAATGAGTTAAAGATAGAACTCAAAACTTAGCTAGAAGGACAGGGTACCATCAGGTTGCTTTTCAGTTTTTCAGGTCAGTGTCAAGATACTTCTTGGTGTAAAATTTTTTCAGCAGCTCAGTGATTTTTGGTAGCTTGGTGGTCTCTCTGGCTGGGATTGCAGAAGTTATATTTATTAAATTTCTTGTCCCTTTTTGATTGACTTGGACTTCCTCATGTATATAGTGTATTCTTAATTCCATCCTTGTCTCCCATGACCTGCCAGTTTAGTCTCCTAAAACGTGGGTCTCCTGGCTGAACACTATGGCTTCTTGTCTGCTTCCTTCTTTCAGGCCCGTTGAACATTGTTAATTTTCAGTCACATACACACACATATACATATATCTTATTTTTTTCAAATATTTTTTCTTCTGTGTGTTTGTTTTAGGAGAGGGATTTTTGGCATATATTCAGTTCATTGTCTGATACTGTCAAAGCTAAACTTTTAAAAAGGAAAATTGATACCAGCCCAAATTTCCAAAGATCCCCTGGAGAAGTTCACAGCAACCCACTCCAGTATTCTTGCCTGGAGAATCCCATACACAGAGTAGCCTGGCAGGCTGCAGTCCATAAGGTTGCAAAGAGTAGGACACAACTGAAGCAACTTAGCACACGTGTACCCTGAACATAAACATATAGATTAGGATTGAAATCTCAAAATATTAATTTGACAAACTAGTAGAAAGTAACTGAAAGAAAATGGTTTATTTTGGTTTAAAATTAGTAGGATATAATCTTCATCATCGTTTCTATTATTACTGCTTTATTGAATGTCTGTTGTACCATATGACTATTTTCAGCTTTATGATGTATGTAAAATCTTCCTGTAAATATTTAGAGATCTGCTGATTGGCTTTATAAATATTTTGCTTATTCAGCAAATATATAATGAATGCTGCTATATACTAAGCACTGCTCTGGATACTTGGTATGTATTACTGAAGAAATAAAGAGACAAGTAGTTGGTAGGAGCAGCAGTCTAATTCTAGCAGGATACCTTTTAGTGAGGAAAAAACACATGTTCTTAGAGTGTTTGCATTTTTAAAACTATTATCACTATAAAAACCTTACAAACCAGGAGAAAAAACCATCTCTAATACTAATCTGCTTTTGTTTTATTAGATTGAGGAGCTTCAGCAGGCTTTAACAGTAAAACAAAATGAAGAGCATGACCGACAGAGGAGAATAAGTAACACCCGCAAAATGATAGAAGATTTGCAAAATGAACTGAAGACCACAGAAAACTGTGAGAATCTTCAACCCCAAATTGATGCCATTACAAATGATCTGAGACGAGTTCAAGATGAAAAGGCATTATGCGAAAGCGAGATAATTGATAAGCGAAGAGAGAGGGAAACTCTAGAGAAGGAGAAGAGGAGTAAGTTTTACTAAACTTAGGGTGAAGACATGTTAATAAAATGGAAGATATGTCTCTGTTGATGGGCTTTCTTCTTTCCCTGATCATGTCTAAATGTTCAGCTCTGCTTGTTGAGGAAACTCATTTAATACCTGTATCTATTGTGTAATGGTTTGCCACTAGCAAACCACTGTTTTAGATCAGATTATGGCAGTTGATTTAATTCCCTAAAAATACTTTATTTTCTGTACAGTCACTCAGTTTTCTGTTACTTCTCAGGTCAAATTTAAGCTCTTTATTCTAGTTTTCACAACCTTCTATCAGCTTTATTCCTTGAAGCCTCTCCAGTTTCATAATTTTTTTTTCCCTGTAGATCATATGGCTAGATCATTGTTCAGACAGAAGAGATCTTACATTCTGTCTTCTCAGTATATATGACTAAGATCAGTTAAAAAACATTTTAAAATATGTTAAAATTTAGCAAAATGCTAGGTGTATGGTTTTAAGAGAAGACAAAACTAGATAAGACAACTTCCTGATCCACTGTCAAGAGTAAGCACTATTTCAGCAATTTTTTTTCTAGTGATTTTTCATATATCTTAATCATATTTTTGTTTCTCCATGTCTTGGTTAATCATCTTTAGATATCATCTTTTAATAGTTTGTTACTTTAGATGTGGATTTCAACTCATGACACCTCCCTTACCTATTATTGTTGTAATTCCTCAAGTGGGATTATTATTTTAATATTAGTAATCACAACATATATTAATGTGACTCACTATAAATATTCTTACTCTTTTTTTGCCATTTAGCACGTGTTGATAATGCTTGAATGCATATTTATAAGCTAAAAATATTGGTACTCCCAGACTTCCTTTTTACTTTCCTCCTTTCTCATAATCTAAATCTGTAATGTGTACTCTGGTTTTTATAGTTTAAAGGCTGAAATATATTTTATTGTGAACCATAATTAAATGTTACATGTTCTGTTTATGGGTTAATTCAAACAGCTAGAAATATTAAGTATTATTTATGTTATTAAAACAGTAAAACTTGTTCACAACAGAGCCAGGTAGTATATTGTAAGATTTTAATTTACCATATTTTAGAAATGCCATTTAGTTTGACATTTCCTTAATTGGGAACAAAATTATCCTCAAAAATTATCTTGAGAACTGATTGTTCTCAAGGTCTGTTACATGACTGATACCTAGGACTTGTCCCACACCTTTTCTGTGTTGGATAAAAAGCTATTGCTGTATTATGTGTCTTCATTTTTTTTAAATTCCTTATTTTCCAAGAGTACATCTTTAGGTAGCCTCCTAGGAAGAGATATTTGAGAATTGAGTCTTTGCATCCCTGAAAATACTTGGTTTGTTATCCCCCTTTTTTGTTGTATATAAAAATCTGGCCTGAAAACAATTTTTCTCAGAATTTTGAACACCTATTATGATTGTTTTTTGATAGGAATTCTAGTGTTTTCTCATTATTTTGTACATGACCTGTTTATTTTTGATAGCTTAAAGATCATCTTTTATCACAGATGTTTGGAAATTTGAAAATGATTTGTCCACAGTGGGTCTTTTTCACTGTGCTGGATACTTGCTGAGTGATATTTATAGCTTTTAGATCTAAGATACTCTCTTGTATTATTAATAGGTTATTTTACTAATTAAAGTTTTCAGAGAAATAATGCTTTTTTTCCCCAATTTTAGGTGTAGATAATCATATTGTACGTTTTGACAATCTTATGAATCAAAAAGAAGATAAACTGAGACAGAGATATCGTGATACCTATGATGCTGTTTTATGGCTAAGAAATAACAGAGACAAATTTAAGCAGAGAGTCTGTGAGCCCATAATGCTCACGGTAAGAAATTTGTTCACCTTAGTAATATCTGTTAGTTTTATTATAATCATTGTAGATTTTGTTGTTTTAAGAATTCTTAGGCTTATTAACACCCTAGTTTTCTATTAGTAGACTTGTAGCATCTGGTATGCTGCTGAATCTGCACATGAGATCTGGTATGCTGCTGAATCTGCACCCTTTTTAAAGGGTCTTTGATAATAAACTTTTCAACTGTTTTTTGATAGAAGTATGAAACTGGCAGCTTATTATCCAAGAATCATTTATAAACTTGGTTAGCTGGTTCCTTTGGCAGTTGCTGTTTTTCAGTTATAATAGGCAATATAGTAAATTCTGCCAAAGGGGTAGAAAACTTCTGTAAATACATGCTACTGATAAGGGGATATCTGACAGGGTAGATAAGAAAATCATCTGCTACAAAAATGAAGCATTCTGAGGATTCTGAGAGTCAAAACCAACAAATTTATTGACCTCATAAACATTTGATAGGTCTTATTGGTGACCATGGGTCATCATGAATAGGGCAAGCTGTATTTGGTAAATTATTTCATGAAATGTGGGTGTGGATTTAATAGAAAAATTTCCATCTAAAATATTTATAATAGCAAGTTGGGCTGTGAGGATGAATGAAAAGATAAAAACACTATTCTTTGCTAATTGATATGTTAGACATTAAAAGTTACCCCAAAATGATAAAAGGATCATTTTTACTAGGTGATTGTTTTTTAACTTTGGGAAAGAATTCATTGCAGATTCTTGCAGGATTCATGACAAGTTCTGTTTTCTGTAACTCCTGTTTGTAATACGCTTTATTCAAAATCATTTCCTATAGTCCTTTGTCTTTTACTGTAACGTGCATCATATTAGCAAAACTCGTATGTGTGATACTGTGTTCTCTTCCTGCTCAGATATGTACTATTAGAATATTTTTGCCAGATCAGGAAGGGAATACCTCTTTTGGATGCAGACATTATTGTTTTTATTAATATAGTAAGGATTGAAAGAAAATACAAGAAAAATATGTGACTATTAGTATAATAAATTATAATGCAAGTATTATTTTCAACAGATTTTTAATTAAAATGCCAACCTCAAAATACTGTCATCTTCTTCTCACTTGATTTCCTGATAGTAGTCAGTCACCAAGTCAGATTACTAGCTGGCATGTATTTACTTTTTAACTTACATTTGAGTCTGAGATAAAGGGAGATACTCTGTTATTTTATCCTTTCCTGGAATAACCTTTTACCTTTCCTACCACCTCCTTCCAGCTGTATCCTGCCCACACTTAACTCTACCTCCATAGACCTTAAAGTGTTGCCACAGGTCTCTATTTACTAATATAAGGGGGCATTTATGATACATTCAGGAATTTTAAAACAGATTACAGGATAGATATTAGAAAGGTTTCATTTTAAAAAATAGCGAAACAGGAGTCTGCCATTAACTACCAGAACATCTTGGAGTGCTATACCTCCTACGGGTACCTGTCTGTGTCTTAGTATTTTGTGAAGATGTGGCTTTGAAGAACTTTGCCAAATATTTTCTTCACTAGTAAGGAGTAAGAGTTCACTAAAAAGCTGATCAAGGTGCAAAACCAACAGGGTGGCCAAATCTTCCTTCAGGATATCAGCAATGGAATGTGCATACACTTGGAAAAAATTGGCAATTACTACAGGAAATGCAGGAACTGACCAGTGACAAAAATGACCCCTACTTATGTGGCTTCTTTGAGATTCATTACCTAAACAAGCAGGTGAAATTCATCTAAGAGTTAGATGTCCATGTAACCAACTTACAGAATGTATGGGCCCCAGAGTCTGATATGGCAGAAAATCTCTGATAAGTGTATCCTGGGGGAGAATGATAATGAGAGCTAAGTCCTAGGTTGGCTTATCTATTAAAAAAAAAAAAAAGTTTTCCTATGGTGATATTGGGGTTACTTTACCCACTTTATTTTTTTTCATTTGTTCCATTCCTTCCAACAAAGTAGTTTGATACCAAAAAAACTATGGAACAATAGACATCTAATGTCTATAGCATTTATGTCTGTGTAACAATATTTTATATGGCTGTGGGGTTTTTTTTTTTCTGTTTGCTTGTGTATCAGTTTTCCCATATTTCTATACTGATTGATATTCTGTCATTTCAAGTAATACAGACCAACAATTTATGTGACAAGCACTGTACTAATTTTTTTATATTATTTCTTTTAATCCACTTTTAAGTCCCATGAAATATAAACTGTTTACCCATTTTACAGATAAAGTAACTAAAGCTTTCAAAGATTTAGGTGGTACTTGATCAAGATCAGGATAGGAATGGAAGTGACATCTGTTGGATCCTAGAGTCCTAGCTCTTGAACTATTGATATCTTAGTATTTTCCATAGCACTAAGCCTCACATGCATAAATGTCTGTTAGTCAATATTTTTAAAATAAGTGATTAAGTTTATGCACTTGTAGTATAAACCTAAGGTTTCTCTTGAAAGCACTAATGGTTACAATTAATCCATAGCAAGTTTTTTTCATTAGTCTCAAAATTTTATTTAGGCCTTTGTGTTTTTATACTAATTAGTTTTTGCTATGGATAGTATGAATTTCTCTTACAGGCAGTATGCATTATGTGCTGTTAAAGTCTTAGCTTTTGCTTTATTTACTATGTATGGACAGTAAATGAAACAGGTGTTTTAAGATGTTGACTCTTCAATACCAAACTGTTCTTTTTTGATCTACTTTTTTCTCAAGGATTGAATTTAACCTAATTAAATCTAAGTTAGATATAGTTACATTCTAGTAATCAGTTTGGGTTTCATGAAAATCAACTTTTCTTTTTGTTTTATATAGATAAATATGAAAGATAATAAAAATGCCAAATACATTGAAAATCATATTCCATCAAATGACCTGAGAGCTTTTGTGTTTGAAAGTCAAGAAGATATGGAGGTTTTCCTCAAAGAGGCAAGTACTAACCAGCATATTTTAACTCACTTCACACTTTTTTTCCAGTGCTTGAGTTTTTAACTTCAATCTGGAGCAAAAAATGATAATGGCCTATTTTACCAGCAATAACTCTTGTATAAAATCATTCAAATTCACTAATTTCTTTTCTTTGCCATTATTGAGAATTGAATTTGTTTTACAAGAGGACAAACAGGCCATAATTCCATCTGTAACATATTTTGAAATTATAATTTGGAATTAATATAAAGTAATTCTGTCACATTAAGGAAAAGAAACATCTTAATGATGAGCCTTTGGTCTTGGATATCCTTTTTGGAAATGTATTGGAATGGACTCAGTTTTTCTTTGGAGAGGGAATTGATATAATATTGCTTCTTCTTATAAATAAAACATTTGCACTTCCCTGATGGTCCAGTGGGTAAGACTGCACTTCCAGTGCAGGGAGTACAGGTTCAGTCCCTGGTTGGCAAATTGAGGTCCCATGGGCTGCATGGTGCAACCAAATAAATAAAACTTTAAAAAGAGTGAGAATCCTATATCTGACTAGAAAAACACCACTGACCAAGAATCTAAGCCACTAGAAACCAGCATGGCTTAGTTATGAGCATAGACTCAACAGACAGGCTACCAGACTTTGAATTCTGGCTTTGCTTCTGTTTTCAAAAACTCAATGCTTTGTTTTTTAATTTCTTCACTATAAAATGGAGTAATATCTACTTCAAAATCTGGTCATGATGATTAAATAACTTATTAAATGAAAAAGTTAAAAACAGTGTTAGGTACTATAGTTTTCACTGTATAATATTAATATATATGTGAGCTATGTATGTTACTATTTTGTCAGTAAGATTTCTTTTTCCTTTTGCAATATGCCTTCTGTTTTTTAAAAAACCCTGGAGAGATAACATTTAGATTTTGTTTTGGTTTAACTTTTTCTAGTGAGTCTAAGTAAGGACAGGACCCTGAATCAGCTTAAGTGGTCCTCTGTTTCTCTGGTACACAAGTTACTGGAAAAAAATCTTTACTTTGTTTGACATTCACTGTATTGACCTCCTTCTGGTTTGGGAGTTGGCAGGGAATGTGAATATATGATGACCAGATAAAAAGGCTGAATCTAGGAAGTATAAAATGGACTCCAAAAAGTTAAGCATTTGTGTATTTAGAGCTATTTAAGTCTAAACAGTTGGATTCTTGACATGATGTCACTGAAAAAGTAGTTTACTTGGATGACAAGTCTGTGAGACATGGCACAGTGTAAAGGGCCTGGAGTCAGGTATAATTAGATGATTTCCGTTTTGCAGATGACCAGCCTAGCCAACACTGAGTAACTGGATTTGCCTCAGAAACTCATGCTTCCTCTGTGCTAAGAATTTGAACCTTATAATGAGACATTTTTTGTTTAGTCACTAAGTCATGTCCACCTCTTTTGTGGCTCCATGACTGTAGCCCACCAGGCTCCTCTGTTCATGGGATTTCCCAGGCAAGAATACTGGAGTGGGTTGCCATTCCCTTCTCTAGGGCATCTTCCCAACGAAGGGATCAAACCTGTGTCTCTTGCATCTCCTGCATTGGCAGGTGGATTCTTTTACCACTGAACCACCAGGGAGGCCCCAATAATATGACATAGTTTCCAGGAAATTTGACCTTTTATTTTTCTTGTATTATGACAACTATCCATTGCATCTCATCATTAGGACTAGAACTGCTTACATGTGTGATTTTTTTGTGTGTATATTTTAAATTATGAAGTTTATTGTATGTAATCTCCTCCTGTAATTATATCTTCTAGAGTACCATTTCCCATCCTTTGGTAACTTACAAATCAGTTGCTCAACTGTGTTGGTGTTCAGTCACTCAGTTGTGTCAGACTCTTTGTGACCCCATGAACTGCAGCACACTGAGCTTCTCTGTCCTTCACTATTTCCCAGAGTTTGCTTAAGCCTATGTCCATTGAGTCCATGACGCCATCCAGCCATCTCATCCTCTGTGGTCCCCTTCTCCTACTGCTTTCAATCTTTGCCAACATCAGGGTTTTTCCAGTGAGTCAGCTCTTCCTATCAGGTGGCCAAAGTATTAGAGCTTCAGCTTCAGCATCAGCCCTTCCAATGAATGTTCAGGACTGATTTCCTTTAGGATTGTCTGGTTTGATCTCCTTGCTGTCCAAAGGACTATCAGGAGTCTTCTCTAGCATCACAGTTCAAAGGCATCGGTTCTTTGGCACTTAGCCTTTTTTATTGTCCAGCTCTCACATCCATACATGGCTACTGGAAAAAGCATAGCTTTGACTATATGGACCTTTGTCATCAAAGTTATGTCTTTGCTTTTAAATAGACTGTCTAGCTTTGTCATAGCTTTTCTACCAAGGAGCAAGCGCCTTTTAATTTCATGGCTGCAGTCACCATTTGCAGTGATTTTGGAGCCCAAGAAAATAAAGTCTGTCTCTTTCTGTTGTTTCCCCATCTGTTTGCCATGAAGTGATGGTACTAGATGCCATGATCTTAGTTTTTTGAATGTTGAATTTTAAGCCAGCTTTTTCATTATCCTGACTTTCACCTTCATCAAGAGGCTCTTTAATTCCTCTTTGCTTTCTGCCATTAAGGTGGTGTCATCTTTGTATCTTTAGGTTATTTATATTTCTCCCAGCAACCTTGATTTCAGATTATGCTTCATGCAGCCCAACATTTTACATCATGTACTCTACACAGGAGTTAGATGAGCGGGGTGACAGTATACAGCCTTGATGTACTACTTTCCCAATTTTGAACCATTCTATTGTTCCATGTCTGGTTTTCACTGTTGCTTGACCTGCATACAGGTTTCACAGGAGGCAGGCAAGGCAATCTGGTATTCCCATCTCTTGAAAAATTTTCCACAATTTGTTGTGATCCACACAGTCACAATGTGGGAGACCTGGGTTCAATCCTTGGGTTGGGAAGATCTCCTGGAGAGGGAAATGGCAACCCACCCCAGTATTCTTGCCTGGAAAATCCCATGGACGGAGGAGCCTGTTAGGCTACAGTTCATGGGGTCGCAAAGAGTTGGACACAACTGAGCGACTTCACTTTCACTTTCACACAGTCAAAGGCTTTAGCATAGTCAGTGAAGCAGTAGATATTTTTCTGGAATTCTCTTGCTTTTTCTATGATCCAGTGGATGTTGGCAGTTTGATCTCTGGTTCCTGTGCTTTTTCTAAATCCAACTTGTGCATCTGGAAGTTCTTGGTTCACATACTGTTGAAGCCTAGCTTGAAGGATTTTGAGCATTACCTTGCAAGCATGTGAAATGAGTGCAGTTGTGCAGTAGTTTGAACATTGTTTGGCCTTGTCTTTTTGGGGGATAGGAATGAAAACTGACCTTTTCCAGTCCTGTGACCACTGAGTTTTCCAGATTTGCTAGCATATTGAGTGCAGCACTTTAACAGCATCATCCTTTAGGATTTGAAATAGCTTAGCTAGAATTCTATCACTTCCACTAGTTTTGTTCATAATGATGCTTCCTAAAACCCATTTGACTTCGCACTCCAGGATGTCTAGCTCTAGGTGAGTGATCACACCATTGTGGTTATCTGGGTCATGAAGATCTTTTTTGTACAGTTCTTCTGTGTACTCTTGCCTGTGTGTCTGACTCTGCAGCCTCATGGACTGTATGGTCCATGGGATTCTCCAGGCCAGAATACTGGAGTGGGTAGCCGTTCCCTTCTCCAAGGGATCTTCCCAACCCAGGGACCAAACCCAGGTCACCCATATTGCAAGTAGATTCTTTACCAGCTGATCCACAAGGTAAGCCCATATTCTTGCCACCTCTTCTTAATATCTTCTGCTTCTGTTAGGTCTGTACTCTTTCTGTCCTTTATTGTGCCCATCTTTGCATGACATATTCCCTTGGTGTCTCTAATTTTCTTGAAGAGATCTCTAATCTTTCCCATTCTATTGTTTTCCTCTGTTTCTTTTCATTGTTCACTTAGAAAGGCTTTCTTATCTCTCCTTACTGTTCTTTGGAACTCTGCATCCAGATGGGTATATCTTTCCTTTTCTCCTTTACCTTTCACTTCTCTTCTTTACTCAGCTATTTGCAAGGTCTCCTCAGACAACCATTTGCCTTCCTGCATTTCTTTTGCTTGGGGATGGTTTCGGTTACCACCTCTGTACAGTGTGACGAACCTCTGTCTATAGTTCTTCAGGCAGTCTTGTCTATCAAATCTAATCCCTTCCATCTATTTGTCACTTCCACTATATAATCATAAGGAATTTGATTTAGGAAGTACCTGAGTAGCCTAGTGGTTTTCCCTACGTTCTTCAGTTTAAGTCTGAATTTTGCAATAAGGAGTTCATAATGTGAGCCACAGTTAACTCCTTGTTTGGCTTTTGCTGACTGTATAGAGCTTCTCCATCTTCACCTGCAAAGAATATAAACAGTCTGATTCCTGTATTGACCGTCTGGTGATGTTCATGTGTAGGGTCATCTCTTGTGTTGTTTCATTTTGTACTCCAGGACCAATCTTGCCTGTTGCTCCAGGTATCTCTCAACTTCCTACTTTTGCATTCCAGTGCCCTATGATGAAAAAGGACATCTTTTTTTTTGGTGTTAGTTCTAGAAAGTCTTGTAGATCTTCATAGAATTGTTCAACTTAGGCTTCTTCGGCATTAGTGGTTGGGGCATAGACTTGGATTACTGTGGTATTGAATGGTTTGCCTTGCAAACAAACAGAGACCATTCTGTCATTTTTGAGATTGCACTCAAATACTGCATTTCAGTCTCTCTTGTTGACTATGAGGGCCACTCTGTTCTTTTTAAGGGATTCTTGCTCATAGTAGTAGATATAGTGGTCATCTGAATTAAATTCGCCCGTTGCTGTCCATTTCAGTTCAGATTCCTAAAATGTTGATGTTCATTCTTGCCATCTTCCGTTTGACCACTTCCAGTTTACCTTGATTCATGGAACTAACATTCCAGGTTTCTATGTAATACTGTTCTTTAGAGCAGTGGACTTTACTTTC